TGACTCCAAAAATCTACAATAATAAATCCCTTGAAAGATATTTCAGGGGCATCTGTCTTTGTTTCTTAATCGCTCCCTGCTTTGCAGAAGATGAAGAATCAGCTAGGGGTGGCAAAAAAACGGGTTGGCCCGCCCCGACCCGCCGCCAACTCGCCAAAAGTGGGTTGGCCAGCCCCGCCCTGCCTCTTGGATGTGGGTTGTAAACCCCAACCCGCTCCGTTTTATGGTGGGTTGGCGGATCAACCCGCCTAAAAAATAAAAATAAAAATAAAATATAATTAAAAATTAAAAATAAATTATATTTTATAAATATTTTAATATTACTTATTTTCATAAATCATATATTCTTTACAAACTTATTTTTATCTCCATGTATAGATTACCTTTGTTATAAATAAAGTTTTTCTTCTTTATTTTTTCCATAGAGTATTAAGATAACAAAAAATTAGATATCACAAAAGCTTAAAGACAAATAAAATACTACTAATAGTAAAAAAAAAAAATTGACCCGGCTGGCCAACCTGCCCCGACCCACCGCCAACCCGTTTTGACCCACAACCTAACGGGGCAGGTTGAGGCGGGATAGTGGATTGAAATGTGTAACCCAACCCGCCCCGTTTTGGCGGGTTGACCCGTCGGGTTCAACCCATATTGCCACCTCTAGAATCAGCCATTGAAAGTCAGGAAAAAAAGGAATATCATAAAGTTTCAAAATATAATCATGATTAACAGACTAACATATAGTTAACAAAAAAATATTAAAACATTGTATATTTCCTAACTATCTAACAATTTTCAAATATATAGTTCAAGGGGCAGGTTATATTTACAAACTTTTTTGTTTACAAACTCTTACAAACTACACCATGTTCTCCCGGGAGAACATAGTGTAATTTGTAAAAAATTTCAAAAAAATTTGTAAACGGATCCTTCCTCATAGTTCAACAATACTTATAACAATTAGTGGCAGAGCCACGTTAATGCCAGCATGTACCTTGGCACCGGCTAATTTAGCCACATTTCAAGTGTAGCTAAATAAACGTAGCCAATCATGTTTCAAATTTTTTGAAAATTAGCCACGTTTTGGACTTAGCTATATAACCGTGGCTATTTTGGCACCAGCTGAAATTTTTTATTTACTGGCTAAAATATTGGCTATACAACTTCTTCCCTAGCAACATATAGAAATATTACGTAGTAGAAAATTATAAACGCACAAATAGTAGGTAAGTACTTAACTCTTTCTCTATCTTAATCTTTTTGTTAGAATGATTAACTGAACAATTAAAATATTCTTCCTTGACGACATCAAATTTTATAATAACGGTGACAACAAAGTACGGAAAACATCAGTAACATCGGCATTATCACATGTTTGACTCTAACCACCCTGGTAAGACATTAAAATTGTATAAAATTATTAAACGTTATACAAATAGCGCAAAAAATATTTAATTGATAAAATCTGATTTTAATTTAAAGATACCGCAACTCTTTTTGGATACTGCTTGATCCTAAAAATTAAAATTATTTATAAAACTAATACAAAGTACTAATATAATCAAATAACGTTTGAAAATGAAATCAACGTACATTCTGATAAAATAGAAATCTCTTTCACGGATTTTATTCCCGACTTGTAAAGGACCTTTCATAGTAGCATATATCATTCCACCCTACAAAACGCACACATTAATAAAATAATAAAAATCAAAATATATTATTTCATAACAGTCATGCCAAATAGAAACCAAAAGTATTATCTGTTCATCCAATAGAACTATCTCCACATTGTCATCAAAATCTTTCCGATTCAAGTTAGGAACCTTCCAAGTACTAGCCACCCTAACATTAATCCTCCACTCCTCCTTGGTATGATTAAGATCCTTTATAAAATCATATTTGGAATACATAATGTAGAAGAACAGTTTGAGAAGAAGAAGAAGAAAAATAGTCAGAGAATCGAAGAAATGCGTGCATAGGAGCCAACTTTCCAAAGAATGGAGTAATTTTCGATTAGGTTTTGGTTGGAGCAAAATCAGAAAAATATCTCATTTAAATAAGAAAAAAATGAAAACTAAATATGATGGCTAATTAACCCCTTGATTAGCGCCCGATCACTTCCCAATTATACTGGGTAATTTTCATTTTTCTATTCAATTGATTGATTTTCCTAATTTTAACCAATCAATCTAATTATTTGGTTTACTTTATTTTCTCTTTTGTCATTAAATCTAATTTCAAGACTATATTTAAATTAGAATTTAAAATTAGAATTCAAATTAATTTTATTAATTTAATATTTAAATTAATTAGGTTGCACCATGGATCAAGTTCCACAAAATGACTTTGAATATATATATATATATATATATACACACACACACACGAGACATGATTCTTTGACATGGGTGTCAAATTAAAAAGTTTGATACCAAATCATAACCGTTGATTTTTCATAAAATTAACAATTATTAATTAATTATTAATTTTCAATAAATTATAACCGTTAGATTGACAGAAATCAACGGCTAATATTTGGTGTCAAATGATCCTATCACTATATATATAGGGCAAGTTATATTTACAAATTTTTTGTTTACAAACTCTTAAAAACCTAACTATGCACTAAAATTGTAAGAGTCTGTAAATATAAGCCTCTATAGATATGTGTGTGTGTGTGTGTATTGTTTACTTTACAAAAAATTTCACTTTATAAAATATTTAAATTGAGAGTTCTATTTTTTTGCAAATAAAAAACTAATCATATGTGTGTGATCAATCATTAAGGGCGTGCATGACAACATTCGCAGAATCATTTTTATTTTCAATTTTTGTTCCGGGGAACAGAAATGGATAGAAATAATGTTTGACAAAATCGGTTTTTTTATTTATTTTGGAGAATGAATGGTTCAATTTCTGTGTTGCAGAACAGAAAAAAAATATTTTTTTCTTTTTTGTGTGTTCCTGGACAGAAAATGAGACACACTTGTTTCTCTCAATCACTCTTCTCCACTACCATCATCACCACCACCACCACCACCATCCTTACACGACCACCGCCACCAACGTCGCCGCCATCGTCACCACCACCTCTACGCCATTGCCACCATCACCACCACTACTACTACCATGCCACCGTCACCACTACCACCACCACCTCCACCACCACCACCACCACCGTCACCATCGTCGCAACCACTGCTGTCACTACTACCACCGCCGCTGCTACCACTATCACCTTCATCGTCGCAACCATTGCCGTCACCACCACTACTATCATCATGCCACCGTAACGCCACCACTGCTGCCACCACCATCGTCGCAGCCTTTGTCGTCACCACCACCACTATCACCAATGCTGCCACCGCCGCTGCACCGTCACCGACACCACCACCACCACCACATCATATGAAAAGGAAAGTGATGATTCGAAAAAAATTTATTCTATTATTTGTTGTGTTATCAAATGCTATTCTTAGTCTCGGAATAAAAATAGAACATATTATCAAATATTTTTTTTTCTCCTCAGAAACTATTCCAAGGCAGAAGAGTAGAAAATAATTGTTTCTTTTTAAAAAACAGTATCAGGTAACAGAATGATTGTCATGCAAACCCTAAATAAATAGAAGTGATTTCTAGGAAATAGGGTAATTATTTTTTATTTTTCAACTCCCTTGAAGATAAAACTTAGCTTGTGGTTGTTGGGAAGGACTTAATTAATATCAATTATATGCCCAATAAATTAAACTTAATTGAAAGAATTCCAATTTTGTATATCACGAGAGTTTTGAAATATTATTACCTCAATGTAGATCAAATGATTAAGATGAAGTATCAAAATGCGTTAGTTCAAGTGGTACATATGTTTGATTTCGCTTAAGCAAGGTCTTAGGTTCAAAGTTCTTGTGAATGTAAAAAAAAATTCTTTGGGAGAATTAACCCTATCATGATGTGGATGTTCTCGCCTTGAACAGAATTGTGATACATGTTGATGCAGTTTATCCAGAAATGATTAAGATGAAATAATAAATGATAATTTAACCTTAAGATGAAATAATTATTTTCATTTTGGCCAATCATAAACTGATCGTTTTTTCTTTATGTTTCTGATATGGGCCCAAACCCAACAAGCCCCATAGACAACCCAGCTCCACCTTCAGCAAGGAAATGATCCTAATTCCTGTATAATGACCTAACCATTGCAAGGAAATTAACTCATTCCTCTGTAAAAGTTGAAATGATGGAAAGAATTATAAGCAAAACTTAGGACTTACATAAAGCTCTTGCTGGAAAAAAATATGTGTAAAAAACAAGCCTTTACCCTTCTTCTCATTGCTATGCACTATTTTATGGATCGAGACTATAATCCTAAACCCATCTTTCTGGTTCTTATTGTGCTTTACTAATGTACGGAGACGAAAACAAAGGAAACTTTTTTGTTATTTTTTGATATAAATGAAATTAATGAGATTAACTTGGTGATAAGGTCTAAAATAATCCTCCCCGTCATTTTCCCACTTGCTTATGAGAATATGACGTTGCTGAGTAGTTGCAGACAGGGAGAATGATGAGGTGCATGAACAAGTCCTGCAATATTTTCTTAGTCTCTCCTTTTCTTCTTATTTTGGGGCTTTGGTGGTATGTGAAGAAGGTTGGTTACGTAATACCACACATGTACGTAGAAAATGGTTACACTAATCAATAGCTAGCTATAGACTTAAGTTGATGGAATGTCATTTTAGTGTTAGATGGAGATCTGGGTCCCTTGCATGGACCCCATCAGGTTCTGAATGTATGTAGGGTTCAATACTTCCCTCACTTTTTCTTTTTTTTTGTGTGTGTGGAAACTACTTCCCTCACTTTTAAAGGAGGAAAGAGAGAGAGAGGGAGTTAACAATTGCACACAAATCCATATTTGGTCTAGGGAATACAAGCCACTTAGGGAACAAAACTAAAAGAAGGGAGAAAAAAGAAGACATAGCTAGAAGCCTAAAATTATGGGTCACCATTCTTGCTGCAACCAACAGAAAGTTAAGAGAGGGCTTTGGTCCCCTGAGGAAGATGAGAAACTCATCAGATACATTACCACTCATGGCTATGGCTGTTGGAGTGAAGTTCCAGAGAAAGCTGGTCAATTTTTCTTTTTTAGTTATTTTTTATCAGCTCCTCTTTCTTCCTTGTTGATAATAATAGCTAGTACCGGCCTCAATTTTACAAGTTTTTTATGTGGCTTTCAGGGCTTCTAAGGTGTGGCAAGAGTTGTCGTTTGAGATGGATTAATTATTTGAGACCTGATATTAGAAGAGGCAGGTTTACACCTGAGGAGGAGAAACTAATTATAAGCCTTCATGGGGTCGTAGGCAACAGGTTTGAATTACACAACCTTCGATTTAACTCTTCCCCTTGTTTGTTCTTCTTACAGTTACTGTCCCTTTGTCTAACATATTCCTCTTTTCGTCCTGTGGCAACAACCTAAATTTAGTTAAGTCGAGTTCAATAAATCTCAGCCAAAAAAAACAAAAACAAAAAAGTTCTATAGCTTTCAACCCGACCAGCTCCAAATTAAATTTACATATGTCTGAATTTTGGGAAGTATGAAATTAATACAAGATATATATGTGATTAATTTGCTATATTGAATGAATGGGATATTGAGCGGGTTACAAACTAAATATGAAGACAACAATGGAATTTCAAGGCTTCATGTGTTCTAGCTAACTGTATGAAAACAAACCACAAAAATAAGTCCTTAATTGGAGCTTATTATAATCAATTAAAAAAATAAATTTCTAATTAAAGGCTGTTGGCCTCTGAGCTAGAAGTTAAGCAGGCAATTTTGTCAGTTGAAATTTACTTGTCCACTTTTAGTGTGTGAGCTCCTAGCCTCCTACATCTACAGTCTTAATTAATCTATAAAATATGTATATTTGTTGATAAAAAATAAAATAAAAAATTAAGCAAATAAAATGTTATCTTATAGACATGAATGCTTCCGAATTACGATTTTATGTAAATTATAGATATAAACCTCAGATAAATTTTTTGATTGAGAAGTTAACTCTCTCTTGATTAATTTAAACCGTGGGGTTTATACTTTTCATTATATATATTCTTCTTGAACTTGGGAAATGCAGATGGGCTCATATTGCAAGCCACTTGCCTGGTAGAACTGACAATGAAATAAAGAACTATTGGAATTCTTGGATCAAAAAGAAAATAAGAAAGCCTTCAGTGTCTTCAACAACCATTGCACAAAGAGTCGATCAATCCCAGTTCAATTATAATTCCAATCAACTAGGTCACTTTGCCAGCCAAGATAATCATCTAACAGCAAAAACATCAGTGGAAGAAACCTTATTTTCTTCCACATGGCCCTTGTTTATGTTTGAAACTATTTCACTTGATGGGACTTCAACAAATAGCAATGTACGAGTAGAACACTTCCAAGTCGATGCAGTGGGTTTGAACTCTGAACCATGGAACTTGAGCCACCATCAAGTCCAGGCACTTCCTCCTTCATCAGCAACAACTTTTGCATTGGGTGTAGGTTTGGACACCACGAATTATCTACCACCATTGATAGAGAACGTGCAAAGCATGGTGCCAATTGAAGCACAATCTTGTAATATGGACGAGGAAGGAGATATACCTCTTGAGTGCTTGCAGAGGCAAGAGTTAAATGAATGGGTTGAAACCCAACAACAATGTTCTAACTTTGTTTTTTGGGACAACGTTGAAGCAGAACTTGGTGGGGAAGAACTAGCACCAAATTCATCAAATATGGGAGCAAATACACTTTCTCCTTTTCCTTCGTCTTTGTGAGATGACAATGATTGTGAAAACTGTCCCCACTCTTCTCTCTCTCTCTCTCTCTCTCTCTCTCTCTCTCTCTCCCTTCTTATGACCACTCTAACTAGGAAGACATTTCATCATGGTCCTCGCCTGCCTTTCCGAAACTTGCAGAGATGCTCCTTTTCCTTTTGATTGCTGATTTGTAAAGATTGTATAAAAAGAGAGTGAAGGTAAGATATATATATATATATTATATATAACCATGTTTGATGTTTATTGAGTGTTTTGACGTGAAGCGGGAGGGGGGGTGGTGGAAAATAAAGGTGATTGCAGCTTGCTAGGAGAAAAGTTTGATTTTGAAGATGTATAAAGCATCTTCAATTTGCAATATATTTGACTGTACATGTGGTGGATTTTGAATGATAATAATGCATGGGTTTTTGCCCTTTACATTTTTCCATGTCCTTTTATCATGCAACCAACCTGTCTTGTGGAAAAAGACAAAAGAGAAAAGCATTGACTTATCATATGCATAATGTCCCCCAACCCGAGTCCCAAAAACACCAAATGCAAAAGCGAGAGAAAAGAGATTCTGGCTAAGGATTTGCATATATGTATTGATTGCATTCCTATTGGCAATGGCATTTTTTCATTTTTCATTTTTCATTTTATTTTTTTAAGAAATTGGCATGTTATTTTGTGTTGTCACCGAACAATTACACACACAATTGCAAATCAAAAAGACACAAAGAATGTTTACTGAAAAAGAAAGAAAGAGAAGAAAAACAAAGATACATATTTACCTTCAACCAATGTGGAAAAAAAAATTAAGTGCTACTTTCGTACCTACCTCCATACAATGAAAACATGACAATTTTACTAACATGTTTTTTTTAGGAGAGTGAAAAAAAAACTTTAATACTTTGCTTATGTATTTTCAGAATACATAGTCCATAGATCATTCATAATAAATTAAGGTGTCATATTTGAATGAAAGTAGTACCTACTATTCAGTGTGATAAGAGTATTAAAAATGCTCTCCCAATATGAATTACGTTCAATAATATACATTATATTTTTCTCATCACCACACTAGTTACAAAGCACCTAGTTCACAAGACAAATATAAATATACTTAAAAACCTTAAGTAATAGTAGTTATTTATAAGTCTAAGTCCAAACTAACCATGTTGGCTTTCTCTGTGTTTCGTTAATAGGGAGTTGTCATTAGAAATATGAACCATACCCAATAATTTGGTCAAATCCAATAGCTAGTGTTGTATAAATAACTATATACATTGAGAAAAATATTTGTTTTTTTAAATGACACAACTTGTATCATTTCACTCTCACTAAGGGTGAGATTTACACTTTTATTTTTGTTTGTCCACTCTCTTTTTAAATGACACAACTTATATCATTTCACTCTCGCAAAGAGTGGGATCCACACTTTTATTTTTGTTTGTACACTTAAAATAATTGATTTTAAAAAATAAATTTATGAACCGAACTGGATTTTAAAAAATCAGTTCATGAACCGAACTGGTTTATAAAACAAGTTCAAGAACTGAACCACTTTCGAATTGAACCGAACCGCTTTCGAACCAAACTGAACTAGTTTTTATTACTTTATTTTTTATTTTATTTTCTTTTCAAAATAGGATTGACCTAAATTAGTTCTGAACCGAACTGTTTTTAGTCGAATCGAACCTTTTTTGACCTGAACTGAACAAATTTCGAACAAAACCGAACTGGTTTTGAATTAAATCGAACCATTTTTGAATTGAACCGTTTAAGCTAATTCTGTTTGATTATTCAAAAAATTCAGTTGAATTCGACCTATGCATATTCCTACATAATATAGACTTGTTATAACATGTTTGGTTTAGCTTCTAAAATTCCAAATCATGATTTAGGGAAAAGGTAAAAGATATACATTTTTTTCTTAAACATAATTTGGACTTTTCAAAATCAAAATCAAACATTATTAATTATTACGACTCAAATTACAGTTGCTGTGAGGGAGCGAGTAACATTTTGGATTAAATTATCCATTAGCACCAACATCAATCCAATATTAGAGGTACAAAGCCCAATTATAATTTCACATCAATCCAGTAGTAGTTTTGATTTGTACCCTTCATAACACAGTCATTGTTGTGCGCGCAGTGAATAATATAAAAGACAAAGCACTAATTCCTAGGAAAATGAAATAAATAATGAAAATTTTAATATCTTTAAAACATGGGTTGAAATGTTCTATTTGTTGTAAATTTTTATCATTTAATATTTTTTAAAAGAATTAAAGAATATTGTATTTTTAAATAATATAAAAATAACAACACAAATGCAAACTGAACCGAACTTCGACCTTATCGGATCAAATATTGAAAGAATTGGTCCCAGATGATTAATACGGTCTACTATTTGTGTTGAGGAGGCCATGGGCCTAGTGACCAATTGTGGCCCATGTATAACCTCAAGAAAATGAAATATAAGTAAGAGAGTTTATTATAAAAAAGGTAAAAAATTATATATATATATATATACGTATATATATTATATTTAATTAAGAATTAAATTTTTTTGTTAAATTATTATAAATATATATTTTTCATATATGCGTGCATTTTAAATTGAATTAAAATTAAATTTTATAATAAAAATTAAATCAATTCAATTTATGTTTAATTTTTTAACTGAATTGTTTTGTTTTGATTAATTTAATGAAATTTTAAATATATTTAAAACTAGGGTTGAAATATTCTATTTTGTTAAATTTATATATTTTAATATACTTAAAAGAATTGAAATAATTAATTTTTGAATATATAAAAATAACAACACAAGTGCAAAGTGAACCGAACTTCGACCTTATCACTTATCAGATCAAATACTGAAAGAATTGGTCCGAGATGATTAATACGGTCTGCTATGCTTTAGGGAGCCAATGGGCCTAGTGACCAATTGTGGCCCATATATAGCCCCATAAAGAAAAAAAGGATAAAAAAAAGGAAATGTATTATAAAAAATAAGTAAGAGAGGTTAGGGTTCACTGCGTGGAAGTGGAAGTGTCTTGGAAGTGTTAGCACTGCTTTGTATCGCCGCCCCCAAATCTTGTAACCATGGTATGTTGTCAAATTCTTAGTTGTTTAGGATCCAATCGAGTTTCTTTTGCATTGTTCTGTTGAATTCATTGAGATGCAAATATTTGTGTTTGTCTATTTGTTCAGATCATTACGGAGAAGAACCGTAGGGAGATCTGCAAATACTTGTTCCAAGGTCATTTGATATGATATCTATGATGAATAATACTCTTCGTTGGTTATGGTTGCGTGGTGTTTGATCTAACACTTGGTTTGTGTGAGTGTGTGTGTTGCAGAGGGGGTTTGCTTTGCAAAGAAGGATTTCAATTTGGCAAAGCACCCAGAGATTGATGTGCCAAATCTACAAGTGATTAAGCTGATGCAAAGCTTCAAATCGAGAGAGTACGTGAGGGAGACATTTGCTTGGATGCACTATTACTGGTTCCTTACCAATGATGGCATTGAGTTCCTCAGAACGTACCTTAATCTTCCTTCAGAAATCGTCCCTGCTACTTTGAAGAAACAAGCCAAGCCACCTGGTAGACCGTTTGGTGGACCACCCGGTGATCGCCCAAGGTAAATTTACCTATTATCAAATTGTTTTATGCTTTTTTGATGTGTGTGTGTGTCTGTTTCTGATTACATTGCTGATTGAAACTTGGGCAATTTGAACAGGGGTCCACCACGTTTTGAAGGGGAACGTAGATTTGGTGACCGTGATGGATACCGTGGAGGTCCCCGAGGACCTGGTGGTGACTTTGGAGGAGACAAGGGAGGAGCTCCTGCTGATTACAGGCCTTCTTTTGGGGTAATGTTTCTGCCACTGCACTTTCTCTTTGGTATCTATCATTAGTTGAGTTTAATATGTTGTTTATCTATAGAATGCCTTGTGTGGGTCGAAATGATGTATGTTTTGTCTACTCTGTTTATAATTTCGAATTATGTTTGACTTTTACTTATTGTTGAAAGTCTAAAACCAAGTCAAGTATCAAGAAGTCATGATGTCTCTAAGATATGTATCTAATGTTGCATCCTATGAGCAGCAACTCTTGGGCTTCCCTGTATCTAATGTTGTATATCAATTTGTGCTTCCATGTGAAGTTGAAAGTTTACTTGAATATTTGCGCACTATTCTTCTCTTTTACATATTGCAATTCACTATTTAGCTCTGTTTGCTTTGTCCGCTAATGGCCTTTTTGAAAACTTGATTTTTCACTGAACACAATGGTGTTGTTTGATCAGTGTAGCTGACCCCCGTAATTGGAAAAGACTTTTGTTGTATCTGTGAAACATGTCGTAATGTTCGTAACTGCATTTGCATGTGAATAAAACATTTTGGTAGAAACTGGTTTCTTCTGACAGTAGAGCTCCTCTATATTGGATATGGTATGGTATCATTCCTTTTTTAATATTCTTTTAGTTTTCCTGAATCAGTTGGTTTGCCATATTGCAGGGTTCTGGCGGAAGGCCTGGCTTTGGTCGTGGATCTGGTGGTTTTGGGGCTCCAACCAGCTCAAATCTTGCTTAAGTATAATGATTTCTGCTTTAGATTTTGCTTAGTGTTCTAGAAAATGCGCCTGTTGGAGTCTGTGATAGATTCCCGTCCCAGAAATTGTTTGATTAATCTGACTCTACTTTATATTCGGTTTTTTATTCAATGAAGATTTTGAATCGAGTGTTTTTGCTATAAATTGTGGCTCATCTGGTGCTCAAACTTTGTTTTCTCTTTTTTCCCGTTCTTGTTCTGACTAATTCTCAACTTCAAATGCTTGCAGTTGTCTAAGTTTGCAAAATTTCGGCCAAAACTTTTGTTGCGATTTTGCCTATTTCGAACTTGTAACAAATTTAGCTGAGCATGAGTGAAACAAATTCATAATTTCGTTATTTATGCCTTCTAACCTTATCATAAGAAAAGAATGGGACATAAACCCTTTATCAAATTCCCAAGGCCTATTCCTCCTTCTTCCTTAGGAGATTAGCTTAAGGAGGACCTAGTTGTTCATTACATTTAGCTGGTGAAATTAATGAAATCATCGATTCTGATTCCTGTGAATTCAATCCCATTCTAAAGAGTGTGAGACACAGCACAGAAAAGATCGTCCTCAAAATAAATATAGCAGGGCAGCTAATTATGGGATGTGAAAACATAACAATTTCTGTGGATCTACCCTGGTGAGTGCGTGGCATGCATGCATCTCTGTTCCTTAAAGTTCGTACATGGTGTAATGAACATAAGATGACAGATACAACATATATAAACCCTATCTAACGAATATCATTTTTCCCACTATAATGTACAGATAGAAACTCAGGGTATGTGTGATAGAAGTTTTATTTTGGATTTGACGGGGAAGTGTGGGTGCCTGGGTGGGTATTGGAAAATATTATGTTTGGTTCAAGTTTTTGAAAAAAAATATTAGATAGCTGAGAAATGACTTTGGTTTTGGGTGAAATTTACTCTTACAAAATATCACTTGAGATGTGGTATTTTGAGATAACTGGAGAAGTGAAAAAACAGGTGCGAAGTTGCTCCCGAACATAGTCTTTACAAATTTAAATAAATTTTTCCGGTAATGGTTCGGTTAACCAAACATCTTTTTATAAACTTTTTCATCAAACTAACTTTTCTATCATTTTCTTAGTAATTAATTTCTCTAGTAAATTTTTTTTTTCTTCTACCGATATTTAAAACTTGTATTGAATTCTAGAAATGAAGAAAATTGTGTTTGGTCCGGTGTTCGAAACTAACTTGGATTAAAAAAAAAAAATCTGCAAGATTTGAATTCCACTTCCACTCTTGCAAGTTGCAATGACTCTCCCAATTAAAAGAATCTGAATTTTGAAATATAAATTAACGAAAAAAATATTACCAGGTTAGTTTCTCTAGAAGCCAAATTATACGTACTCAATAGTTCGGTCATGATCATGCTAGGAACATTCAGACTAACCTTCAAATGCTCAGAAGATAAATGTATCAGAAAGCCCACTAGTATCTAAAGACAACCACAGAAATAGAGAATAGTGATGATCAAAGCATGACAATACAATCCAAGCTTAAGTGGTCATAGCATAGCTAACCTCACACCATTTTATCTTCCACTTAGATTGCTCATCACAGGATCGGCAACAGCTTAATGCTGCATTTTTTTTTTTTTTTTTGTAAATAATGCTGCATTTTCAATCTCACAGTAATTACATGAAGAAAACATCCCGAATTTAGAAAATCAAACCAAATATATTCCATTTGGGGACACCAAACCCACATCCCATCGGTTGAAAATAGCTAGTATTCTGTTTGAGATAAAGAGGACTGCTAGCTTAAGCTTTGAGAATGTTTGATCCTTGACCCCTTGCAGAAAACCACAAAGGTAACTAATATTCTCAATAAAGGTGATTTCAGGAAAAAATCTTGTCACAACCAATAAAGGAAGAATAAAATGATTTATATTCGAGTTCACAATTTCTAAAATCTCACACCGTAATAGTGTCGAAGTGTTGAGAACCCAATTTAGGTTACTTGAATCGCCTGGTGGAATTTTACTTCAATTTGTTTAATTCTTAACAGCAATTCCATGAATGGAACCTTTTAACAGATCCACCCAAAGTTTCAAAACAAAATCCTTACAATTTTCTAGCCCAGCATTTGAAGATTACTTCACATATAGAAAAAACCAAACCACCCAAAAATTGAAACTTCAGTTTTCCAACGATACCCATACAGTAGTCAACTAAAGCATTCCACTTACACCTAAAAAAAAAAAAATACAAAATATAAACATATAATACGAGATTCAATTGATTTTGCTAAATGTGTACATAAAGGATGTGCACAATTGATTTTGCATATCATATGCCATGGATGTGGATAACAATTTTTGTCCTCCAAACGAAAACTGGTAGTGGCCAAACACTCCTCGATCATCCACAGATTGGAACTGAGATGTCCTAACAGCAAATTGTGTGAGGATGCACCATAACCAATCAAGATATATAACTGATGCACAAGTATGATACCAGTGGTAATGTAATTTCAGCTTTCATTGTTTATAAGTTTCTAGTTTCATTAAAATTCATGACTGAGTCCGAGCATTTAAAGAGACCAATAGAGACTATTATGGCCTTTAGGTGGGATAATCTGCGTCTTTCCTTCCCGTAAGCCTCTCTTTGGGATTATAATGGATTCTGAGGATTAAGTGTTTCCTAACTGGACTCTTTCCTATTGTCAAATAATCTTGCATGTACCTACTAAACCTCATAACTTATCATGTGTTGGGTTTGCTCTTTTACTAAAGCCCAAATGGGTTATTAGTATGAGAAGAGCCCAAGAAACTTAGAGTCCAATGAGCTAGGGTTTCTTGGAACCCATATAAATAGTACCTCTTAAGTCATCAGCCGCGGGGAGGTCTTTTTTGTGAGAAAGAGGCAAGCTCAGAATCTAATCAGTGCCCACACACTTCCCCTTCCTCCTCGAGAGATAGTTTGGAAGATCTGCCACAGTCCAGCTTCAAGGAGGTTGTTCGTGCTGCGGCGCTGAGGTGAGCTGTTCGTGAAGAGGAATCCTACAAGGGAAGATTCTACACGAGACCTGCGCACCGAGAGGTAATTGTGAAACAAGGATGATTCGGTAAGCATACTATAATAGCCCAACTTAATTAATTAGTAAATTTAGTGTAATTAATTAATTAAACATGTTTTGGTGAGTGAATTTAAGTATAAGGCTTAATTAAATGAATCTGAGTCACTTTGGAGTTAAAAAGTGTACTCAGTGAAAATTAAGGGGTATAAATGGGTACTGGTGAAAGTGCCCAAAATATAAAAATAAAAATAGTAATATTCCTAGAATAATATTCCAGACTTTTGGGTAAAGTTTGGTAATTATTGGAGTTGAATAGATAGACGAACCAATACCCGCTTAAGACCACTTAAGTTGAGTTAAGTGACCAAAACACAAAAAACCATTTCATTTTCCTTCTTCTTCCCGTGGTTCAGCGACAGAGAGAGTGAGGAAGACATAGGTGAGCCAAAAACCTAGCTTTCACATTTGGTGTCCAAATCAACTCATTCCAAAGCCTAAACCACTCCAAATCTTCCCCTCTTTCATAATTCTAGCTTTGTTTTGGGTGGGAGTTATTGGGGAGAGAGATATCAACCCTCCAAAATTCGCCCCTTTTGGTGAGAGTTGGGGTTTTGGGGTGATTCCCTCCATTGAAGCTTGAGGAGCCATCAATCCTTGGTTGTGTGACCATTGGTGGTAAGATTCTAACCCTTGAACCTCATGATTCCTTGAAATTTGCATGAGTTAGGGTTTATGAATAGTAAATTGGGATTTTTATGAAATGTAGTTGAATTAGCTATGTTCTAGGAAGAATGGAGTTTAGAGCATGTTGTGAAAAATGCTAGGAACGACATTTAATCGGTGGAAATAATCCTTGATAGTCATTTGATAATTGTTCATAATATTGGAAAATTCATGCTTGGATTGGTTAGTATTCTAGCATGTTGAACAATTAGTGAGTGGAATGATTGATTGGATCCTTGTGATGTCTAGGATTGAGACATTTGGACCAACCGTGAGTGATCAACCATTGGAGCAAGCTATGGAGCTTGAATAGCTCATTGGAATTGGTAAGCTCGTACTTGTGTTGTGTTTTGAATTGAGTAATTGATGGTTGATTATGAAATACTCTTGGATGCAATGTGTTGATTGCATTACACCATGTGTAGGTGTTGGTTTTGGAGTAGAGTATTGTTGACATTGGTGAAGAACAAAGGTCGACTGAAGCATTGAGGTAAACCTTCGGACCTTGGGTGTAATTCCCTTGACTGTTCTACCAAGCCCTGAAAGGGTGGAGGTTGTGATTGTGTATATAAATGCAATAAAATAGTGTAATGCTTTGTTATACGTATGTGTATGCATTTGGTGTGGCATATGATGGTGTTTCCCTATGTTGGTATGTGGCATGACGATGCGTAAATCATACTTGGTAGTTAGCTGGCCAGTAGGACTATTTGCATCTGAGTTTCCTTAGGACAGCTTGAGAGCTCGAGGGATTTCTCCTGGAGATGTATTGCACTTTGCATAGATATGTATTTACTGCATTATTATTGTTATTGCTATTACACTGATATGGAACTGTGGGGTGGAGAGATGCTCCAAGGACCCCTGGTTTACTGGATATATTCGTATATCTCACCCCGTGTTGTGGGGACCCCCTTTCAGGTAAGGATGCTGCAGGAGCCTCTGGTGGCAAGTGGCCATATCTGGATTATGCATGAAATGTGGCATTTCTTTTGAGTTTATGCATGCCTTTTGTAGTTGACATGTATAGGATTTTATTTTGAAAGCCCATGGTCATTTGTATATCTTGATTCATTGGATGAACTTAGCCTGTGCTCATGCCTTTGGTTGCACCTTTTGTTGATGGGAGCCAAGGGAATGATCATAGTGTTTTGTAAGCTAAGTTCTATGATTTGTAAAGGATATGTAATGTAAATGATGCCTACTTGAAATTCAATATATGCATGCTTGTTATGTATTGAGTTGTTGAATTGGTTGGGCTGAAAATCAATTAGGTACCCCTTTGTTTAAACTGGTAAACGATGAGAAAACAAAGGTCATGCTGCCCAAATTCTAGCTAAATCTCATGAGGAGAGGTTGGATGAGTGCTAGGATTTAGTTTTGGGGCATGGACAATTGGGGTTTGTAATAGGGATGCATCTTCCCCTAGGCTTGGACTTGAAAAATGTGGGAATTGGAATTCCCTGGCAGCGCGCTTAAGCGCCCAGGAGCTCGCCCAAGCGCCCTGCTGCCCCTGCGAGTGCCAATGCATTCTGCCTCCTCGCGCTGGAGCGCCCAAGTGGGGGCTTAAGCGCCCAGGATTGCGCGCTGGAGCGCCCTGGCGTGCGCTTAAGCGCCCTTTGCTGCAGAAAGTTGGGATGCTTACTGTCCCCTCGTGTTTTAGCGCCCAGGGTGGGGCTTAAGCGCCCAGGGTTGCGCGCTTGAGCGCCCTGGTCCGCGCTTGAGCGCCCTTAGCCACTGAAGGAGGAGATGCTTCTGTCTCTGCGCGCTAAAACGTCCGAATGGGAGCTTAAGCGCCCAGGATAGCGCGCTTGAGCGCCCTGATGCGCGCTTAAGCGCCCATCCACACTGGAATGCCTGATGCTTACTGCCTCCGTGCGCTTAAGCGCCCAGATGGAGGCTTTAGCGCCCGATAGCGCGCGCTTGAGCGCCCGGTAGCGCGCTGAAGCGCGCGGGGCCTGTGACCAACACTCTCTTGTGCTGCTTCAAATTGTCCTAACTTGGGCTACAGTGCTCCGATTTGAGCACGGTTTGAAGCACGGGTAGCTAATGAAGAAACCTACAATATAATAGAAGTTGTGAATTAAATAAGAAGTAAATAAATGGTTTAAAAATGGAAAATGAACATGATGTTAAGCTTAATTTATCTGATTCCGCAAGGTAATACGGTTATGATCACGAAATTGGGTATTATAAATTCGGCATGTTTTAAAATGAAAAATTTATCCGGATTTTAATTGAACCCATGTGATTGTAACTGCGCTTAATATCATAATGCGATGTTAACAAACCAGTTCTAGAACGGGGCGTTACACATACCAATGTACTAGGTCCTACACCGCTTCCGCATAAATCTAAGATTTCCTACAATTGGTATCAGAGCCTTGGCTGTACATTGGTATGTGAATCTAGTTTCACTATTCATGTAATTAGTTTTGCTTCTTGAAATGTGGCACCTAGGGTTCTAGGATTATGGTATGAATCTAGCATGTGTATTTTATAATTCATTTTCATAAAAGTTTAAATTTTAATCGGTAAAAATGCTTTAATCCATGGTTAGGGTCTCTCGTGTATTTCTCAATTTGTAACAAGGAGGCTAATCCCATATGATTAGGTTTCCTCCTTGCTGTTTTTTTTAATTTTTCGGAATTTTTGTGTATTTTTCAATATTTTGTAAAAATTCAAGATCGAGAAACCGCGAGGAAGATGCGCAGTCAGTACTGTCGGAGACTTTTCGAGGTCTTCCCGATCTCGGAATGAGGCTATCTATATATGGTTGGAAAGAGGACGAAAAGACGAACGCAACGGGGGGTGTATAGCCTCCATCGGAGACTCCACGCTCCACCACGCGCCTCCACAAGAGGATGAGAGTGGCCGCCACTCTCCGGCAAAGAATGGGAGAGTGAGGGAGCGTCCGGCCACCTTTTTGGGTGGTTCCGGCGGCGGTGCACTCGTCTCTACGTGGCGGTCCTTCCCCTGGAGTTTCAACCTGATTTGACTTCGGGTGACGGCGCGACAGACCTGACGACTAGGGTTCCTCTTTCGCGTCCTAGGGTTTCTCGCCAAAGGATTGGGTCTTTGGGCTTTTGGGCCCATGAAACCCTAAAGGTGCTTGAGACAGATACTATGAGCTAGGCGAAAGTCGAATTTCAAAGTTGTATTATTTAATTTAATTTTATTTTATTTTCTTTAAAATAGGAAGGCCATGGATTAAAGTAATTATGATTTATTATTTAATGCTTTTATTGATTGGTATAAATTATATGATTGATAACATGCTTTATTGCGATAACATGCCATATAGAATAGGTGGTGCCATATTGTTGCATAACTTGTATGATTGCATGAGCATAATAGCTATTATGTCTTCAGCGACTAGTATGATAGTTATTATGGGATTATTTTGATTTTAAATCATCCTAAGAAATTAATTAATAATTATTATGATTTAAATTGGAAAATTGGAAATTGGAAATTGGAAAATGTTGCTTATGTTGAATGGAAGGAGATTTAAATTAAGAAATTAATTTAACCTTCAAGCGCATTTTAAGGACCATTGATAAAATAATCATGTGAAGTCTCATCGAATAAGCATGATTGGATTTTATTAGATTGGACCTAAATAATTATGGGAGGAGATTTAAATTAAGAAATTAATTTAACCTCCAGGCGCATTGTGGGCCTATCAATAAAATAATCATGTGAGGCCCCAACGGATTAGCATGATTGGATTTTATTGGGCCTTAATAATTTCAAAATTTTAATAAAGTATTGTACGGCTCATCGTCGATAATACTAAGTTATTAAAGATAATTCTGAAATTAAACAATGAATTCGACAGGGCTTACGAAAATTCTCAAACAAAAATGTTAAATGGGTGAAGGTTTTAAAAATTAATTAATTTTAAAACCTGCGGGCTCCATTTGTGGGTTTATTAGTGAAATGGTTTTCGCTGAATCCCCATCGGATAAGGATAATCAGATTTCACTAGATTAAATCTTAATAATTTCAAAATTTTAGTAAAGTATTGTACGGCCCATTGTCGGCAATGCTTAGATACTAAGGATAATTTTGAAATTAAACAATGGTTAATTACATTCAACTTTGGTAAAATTGTTAACCCTCCCATCGAGGCTCTGGCAATGGCACTGAAGGCCCAAATAACAATTTTGGTTTTTACAAGTGACTTGCCCATCGTAAGCCTTGTAAAGATAAACTGAAGGATTGTTAACAATAAACAAGAGTAGTTATGAGAATCTACTCGCACTTCATTTGTTTATTGCATTATTTGTTTGTAATTGTGTGCTTTATATGTTTTTTAGAAAATATCTTAGAAATGATTTTGAGTCGAAAACCTCTAGATGGTACCAACTATGAATAAGTGAAAAGCAAATTTTTGATATTGTTCTAAAACATGGAAGCTAAAATTTGTTCTGACAATACGAGGGCCATAGCAACCTGCAGAGGATGCGTCTTAGGAAACTAAGATGCATTTCTCAGATTAGGAAAGGGCAAATATGGTAGTTCGCTGCTATATTATTGTCCGTCTTTCCAACTCCTTGCAGAAGCAAGTGTACATGATTAAGAATGGAGTAGAAATGCTTCAGACTCTTAATGACATGTTTGCTGCGTCTAGCAGCTCTGCTAGACAGAATGCAGTCGGTGCAGGTTTTGTTAAGAGTCTTGTTAAATCCAAAGGGAAACCCAAGGGTGGTAACAAGAATAAAATGACTTGGTTATTAGTTGTCAAACCAGTTGCTATGAAGAAGCCACAAGGCAAGTTCTTCAAGTGCAGACTGAAGGGATACTGAAAGAAAAATTGCCCAGAGGTGATGAAAAGAACCAGACATGGGCATATCTAGGCCTGATCAGTGAATGAATTATTGATTCAGGAATCACTGATTATGTTTGTTACTCTTTGTAGTAGTTCAAACATAGCATACCTGTCAGCAATGGACATAGATATTTTAAGCTTGAAAATGGGAACTTGTGTCTGCATTTGCAGTAGGACAAGTTATTTATAAGACTATGGTTTTGGGTGACTGTTTGTTTGTTCCAGATTTCAAGAGGAATTCAATTATTGTTAGTTGTTTTGATTAAAACATGGGTTGACAATGCAATTGATTCCTCAGTTACATTTCGAAGTTCATCTTCGTCTTGTTTTGTTCTGGTACATTGTTTAAATAGTTTTTTTTATTACCTATGTCCTATACCTTTTTTTTTAAATTTGTTATGTTGAATGGAAAGGATGATGAACAAGAACTTTCACCAAAGAAATAAAAGTTTCAAAAGAAACATAACTTTGGCCTTTGTGATTGAGTCATATTATCTCAAGTAGGAAACATGTTTTAGTTAAAAGAGGGACTGAAAGTTCAATAATCTTTTAACTAACAGCTACATGTTAGTCCTATTTGGAAGGTAAAGTGGCCAAGCAATCCTACAAGGGTCAAAAAGGTTTGCGCAACTATTCAACTGGAACTGGTACATACTAAAGTATGTGGACCACTTAGCGTTCAGACCAGAAGAGGTGATGAGTACTTCATTATATGAATGTTTACTTTGGATTTGGACAGATGAACCAAGTGCGCCATAAGTCTAAAGCTTTTGGAAATTTCCAAGAGTTTTAGTCTGAGGCAGAAAAGCATGTAGGTGTTCAAATCAAAACACTTTGGTCTACTAAAGTGTTTGGCTACCTGTCTGGTAATTTCAGGTCTTACCTGATTTAAGAGGGGATTGTTTTCGTAACTGTCAACTCTAAGAACGCGTTAGTTGAATGAAGTTGCAGTATGCAAAAATCAAACATTTCTAGACTTGGTGAAGATCATGTTCAGTTATTCATCTTTGCCAATGTTGTTCAAGGGAGATGCCTAAGAGAAGGAAATGTACCTTCTTAACTTGATTCCGTCAAAGTTTGTTGTAAAGACACCTAAAGAATTATGGAAAGGGTGCAAGCCCAGATCAAACCATATTCGGATTTAGGGTGCCATGGCACACGTCCTACAACAGCAGTCAAATGAGATGAAATCTTGTATGGAAGAGTGCATATTTTTTGGCTACCCTAAGAGAATTAGGGATGATTTCTTA